AAAAGCGGGTTTAACTGCAGTGCACAATCTAAATGCAAAATCCTTAGATGGAAATTTAATTGTGTAAAATGTGCACAAGGTAATTAAGAACAAATTTTAGAACATTTCAGTCTATAAAGTCCTCCTTCAGCTAGATCACTAGCGATATTGTAAGTGCTTATTTTCAATTTGCAGTTATGCTGAGAAACATGGAATGTGTCTAAATTAAGAATAAAAACATCCCATGCTTTTCAGTATAACTGTAAATTAAAAAACAACTTGCACAACATAGACAATAATCTAAGTGGGAAACTTTATTGCCCGAATGTCCTAAAAATCTGTTTTGAACTTCCTTCCCTCGGTCACTTTCTGAACAGGGTACAGACTGAGTTGCTGTTGTAATTCTTATTATCAATAGACAGGCAGGTGAGTAAAGAGCGATGTAGAGGAGGCAGTTTGTTAGTGAGGGTTTCTGGATGTCCATTTTCAGTTCCAAAATTGTGAATTACATTATTTCAACAAGTCATTTGTAATTTTGTGTGCACTTGTCTGCCCATTAAACGGTGGTTAGAGTGGCTTTCCAGCCCTTCTTAAGGCTGCTCCACGCAGAGGGTTTAGCCATCTCCCTCTTCCAGAACTGGCTGCCTCATCTTCTTTTCGCTTTCCCTTATGTGTTTTGATTGTTTGATAAAAATCAGCACCCATGCAACACTGTACCTCTGCCTGTTGTTTAATAATCTGGGATTATTTCTCAGTTTATCCAGCACTGGTTTAAAATCCGATGGGGCACCGCGTACATCCATCTGCACCTCGGTCCGAGCCTGGGGGAAGGCTCCCGTCCCGTACTTGCGCTTGGAAGTGCACCTCATTTTTCAGAACACAACCTCACTGAACACCGTGAGATGAGCATTTTAAGTGCTCTAATGGGCTACTTCTGTGTCTAAGAAAGAAGTTTTAAATAAACCCACACACACCACCACTACCACCCCCCAAAAAAACCCTACACAGCCATGCAATTGCTCTGAAGTGAAATGGTGTAGGAAAGTGTTATTCTGACATACTTCTTGCTGATGTGATCTGATTCTCATTTATATTTCCATACCGTGCTGGCATTGCTGTTCACTGGCCCTTTTTAAAATGCTGGATTTTACAGTTCTGGTGCAGTGGGAAGGTATCCGTAGGGAAATGAGAACCAGCTCCTTGAAGTTTAAGCGTTCCCTTCTCCCCTCCTTAATATCCAGAGCTACATAAAATACTGATCAGTTCCCGAACCTAATTAGCGTGAATGGAAATACTGTATTTTTGTCATAATGCCTTAAAAACAAAACTGCATGTTCCTGAGTTTCCCATGTAAATGCAGAGGTGGTAAGTGTTTAATAGTGTGTTAGTTTGGGAGTTTACGGTTTTTTGTATCCTGCATGGGGCTTGTGCTCTGTGTGTTTATAAGACTTCCTTGAGACCAATGATAGCCAGTATGAAAATCCCTTTAGTGAAGCTCTAATCTGTTTGTTTTTTGTTGGTTTTTTTTTTTTCCCTTTACTTTAACTGTGACGCTATTTATAAATCTAAATCTACATACAGAGGTCATTGGTTGGCTGAACTTAAACCATTTTACTTAGTAAATTTAATTAAGAAAATACAGTGCAACTCATAAGCAAATGAGTTTTTCCTAGTTTTAAACCAAACCACCCTCTTGAGTGCTGATTGCCTTGCTCGACCCCTGGTGATATAGAAACAGGCAAAATTAAAAAGGACATTAAAGCTTCATTAAATCTGAAACACATTTAGTACAGTGACATATCTGCAGGCTATTTCAGGGAAGATTACATACTCTTTGGTAAGTTTCTTAATTTATAATACCTTGACAATCTTGGAGAGGAAACAACTCTGACTAGATGAATCGAGTGATGGTTCAGAGGGATGCAGAACTGGCACCTCGTCTGTCCAGATCCATGGCCGTATTGCTCTACAGTTCTCCGTCAAGGAACAGCTTCACTGAGAAACGTGTTTCTTTTCTAAAAACCCCCAAAGAACTTGTTCCTGATGCATTTCGGATTCTTCGAAGCTCATTTATATACCCTGTACTTATATCTGGCAGAAAACTGCTTTTTTTTCCAATTATTCTGCTGCCTTTGGAGCCCCTGCTGAGGCGTGTGGTGGTCAGGGAGAGGAAGCGTCAGTGAGAATGGAAATGCTTAGTCTGAAGCCATCATCGAGGCAGTGGTCGTTTTTCTGCTTAAATAAGATCTGCAGAATGATGGCCTGTGCATATAGCCGTGATTATCTTCTTGTTCTACAGCAGGATAACGGTTACATTCCTACAAGTCTGTAGGTTTTGTAGTGACTATTCTTAAGCCAGTAGTCATTGGAAAAATCAGGATTTCTTCTACTTCTGTTCATGGAAAGGCATTTAGCATTTATAGGTTTATTTCTAGGCTAGTACAGCAGCAGTGCTTCTTAGGATCTCAAGCAGCTTCTTGGAAGTTAAGGATGGTCCTCCAAAAAGAAGAGAAGATGAAAAAGGGTACATTTTAGTAGGTCCTGGTCCTTAAGACTGAGCATAGCTGAAGACATTGGGTCTTTGCTTAACAATTTAGCAGTGTATTTCAAAGCCTGCCATTAGAGAGTGACTGGAGTGACACACTGAGCTGGGAGAAGCTGTGAACCAGGCACACGTGATAGAAAGGATGGCAATCAAGCCTGCGTAGCTCAGGTTCGTTTGTTACGAGGATGAGTTCGCTGCAAAGAAAAGCACTGCGCTCAGCACTGCACCAGAAACAAAACTGAAAGGCAGAATTCACCCCAAAGAGTTGAGTCTTAAAGGCAAACCTGGAAGACAAAGCACAGAAGAAACCCAGAGGAGGAAACTAGCTTAAATTGTTTCAGCTTGGAGAACCTGAAGAGCTCTTACTTGTTTTGTCACTTTAATGTTGTTCCCTATTCCAATGTCTCTCATAAGCCTGTGATCTTCTACATTCCGTAGGCATTCCTCTTAAAGACCAGGCGGACACAACTGTCCCCAAATGGAGGTCTACAAGCAGATCTGAACTTTCAGAGAGATGAGTGACACAGTAGAAACGTCTCAGGAAAACTGCGCTCTGTTTTGTTATGTTACTGCTAGCTGGGATCCTTGGTCAACGCCGTACCGATGTAGCAGGCTATAAAGGCGCCACGCAAACTCCCACCCATGCGATATTTCGGAAAGATTGGGGTGATTTGTCAGAGCGATGCATGGAAATTTAGACATGCAGTTCCCGTAATTGTGATGCGCCTGTGCCGTAAGTGAGCATTCGGAGATAGCGTGCAAACAGAGTAGCCCTTTTGGAACCCACTCGCGGTGTCTGTAGATTTTCAGGACAAATGCTATCTCACTATTGCAAACACTTCCTTTAAGAGTAGTCACCAAAAAAAATGGTTGCTTCTCTTGGGGTTTCTCTTCTGTGCCTCTTACACAAATGCTTCAAGACCTACTCTGCTTCTGTAACGTCTTTCCTCTGAGGGTCTGAGGGAAGTTTACGGTGTTTGCTAAGGCTCACGGCTGAATGGCCACTACGATACTAAGTGTGGATGGCCGCTAGAATGGCAGAAAGGTCACCTTCTCTGCTGTTTTCTCTTTGCTTCCACTCATGCTGCCAGCTGCTTCGTACTACCTTCTCATGACCTTTTTCCTGAGCTGCTGAGGCTCAAGTATGTCTACTGGTCTTTGCCCCGTCAGTTCACCACTTTGCTATGGCTCTGTCTATGCCTTTTTCTTCATACTTGGGATAGTTTTGTGCTGCCAGCCAGGCTGAAATTTCAGCATAGGTTAGCACAGCTGCCTCAGCTGCAGTCTGGCTCGGTCAAGTAACCACGGCACTGAGGAGCTCAGGTATCAGCGGCCGTGAAACAGCTTTTGCCCAGCGCTGAGGTGTGGTGTAGCCTTTGCAGGACATGACATGATGGCTTAGACCTTCAGCATTGAGGCTGTTACTTGGTCTGATGTGAACATACCTGGTTTATCATGCAGACAAATCAATGATAGTAGCTCATCCATAACGCTTTTGGTAGACCTCCTTCTGAAAGTTGCTAAGGGAGGATTGACAAAGATTAACTGGAGTGTAAAGAAGCTCATCTGACTGTGGCTCCTCTGTAAACCGTGGAGAGAGGTGGGCTTAGGCAAAAAGTGGGTCAGAACAGAGCTGCTCGGAATGCCCTTTTGGAGGAGCCCATGTCAACTCTGAAAACCCTTGTCCTTCACCGAATAGGAGACAAAATAACTTTAACTAGTTGTATTTTGCTGAAATCCTTTCCAAGGTTCAGATACCAAATGGGAAAACCTAAAGTCTTGTATGAAGAATTTATCATGGAATAGTTACGAGCTATGGCATTCTGGCACCAGTAGTGTCGTTGTCGGGTCTAATACTGGTACTAGCAGATGCTCCAGTAACGCAGTGATTGACTTGTAAAACAGTGTGGGCAACAAATCCGGTTGATATCGTGTGCAACTGAAAGTAGATGTGAAGAAGGCGCAGTGTCACTGTGCAGGTGCAGTGATCTCTCTCCAGATGCCCCACTCACAGGTTCCTACCTGGGTTTGACACCGATAAGGAAACGAATCTCAGCTATATAACCCAGATTTTACTCTGAGCCAGTTAAGGAAGGACTTTGGGAGTTCAGTGCATGCTCTACAATACCTGTTCGTTGCAGATAATTATCAGTAAAGGTCAGTGGCGTTGGCCTCGCTATTGAGGCTGAACTGGTTTAATTTCGAGAGTCCTCAGGAACTTGGGCATCAAACAGTGTTACCGAGTGGCACAGACAAAAGAGCTTGAGAAATACAGAAATAGTCAGAAACGTAGAACAAGGGGTAATTGTTGTGAACGACTCCATTCTAAATACAGCTCTTTGTGTGTTTTCAGAATTACTTTTGCTGGCATTTTCCAATTTATACAATAGTAAGAGTTGAGTACTTTTCTCTCTTTAAGAAAATGTGCCCTCCATGCAAATCTATATAACTAGACAAATATTATTTCCTTTCCCAGCTTGCTCTTGGGAGGTTTCCATATCCTCAGGTAAGATTGTTCATTACTGCTGTTTGCCACTGTGACATTCATTCCTATGTATGAAGGTGCAGAGAGCAATTGTGAACATTTGAGCCACATACAAATAAATCTGTCCTGTTAAATTGAAAAGTCGTATCTTGAAGGAGTCATTTAGAAGTCTCTATTGATTTTTTTTTTCCTCTCTTTTTCTCTTCTCCAAACTCCAGATTTTCTTTCCCTGGAGACAGTGAAAATTATGATGATGTTAATGATTGTTTTGTTGTGAGATTAAAAAATAATCCAGTATGTACAACAGTGCTTTTGAAGCAGGAAGGTGTATCTACTCCTTTTTCACATTTTAATTTTTCATTTCAATTTTGAATAATGGTACAACGGTCTAAAAATCTTCCCAAATGAAAAATATGATGTGAATGGAATACTCGGGGGAGCTCTGGATTCTCCCTTTTAAGAGGGCCTAATATTAGTATTTTATTTAGATACTGGCATTTTTTAACTTTCCACTGACCTAACTCAGTTTCATTGAAGTTGGTGGTAAAACTATTTCCATCTTCAGTGGCAGTGGTTTGGCCGATGCTGAGCCCTTCATTACCACATAATATTGTACTTTGTCTGTATGCTTGAAAAAAACCATGAAGCTCCGAACAAAACAACCAATCCAGAAATAGGTTTGATGATTACTCTAAATTCTTATGGCAAGATGGACATTAGAATACATAGTAACAAACTGTTCTGTAGTTCCTCAAATTATTTTTTCCTGGGAGAGGGGAAAAAGTGAAGTGTCCAGGGACTAAAATGAATTATTTGAATGTGGGGTTTATGTTTTCGTATGTTTTATGAACAGTGTTTTCTGCATCTTGGTCTATACAGATCAGAGTGCCTGGAGGCATGTCTGATTTAAAGGTGGTGTTGGTCTGTGCTCTTTAAGCATCTATTAACTTGCTATTATTATGCAAATAACTGTTGTAATACACATACTAATTTATGCATGGTTAGATTATGCAGATGCCTCACAAACATGGTTATTGAATAATAGGCTGGGACTCATTCTCTCTCCCATTTTTATAAGCTGTTTTAAGCAAATTCTCCTGACACTTTTATGGACTTGCAAAGATTTTGCGTTTGTGGAAATATACTGATTTTTCACTTTCTCATCTCCTATGGAAAATGTTTGCTGACTGAAAGAGCTGTAGCCGGTTAGCAGAACAGACTTCGCATATTTTATCCATATTTTAAAATGTGCCCTCTCCTTTGAGAGAGGACTGAAAAAGAAGCTCTTGTGTTGAAGTGTCCTCCATACATTGGCGTACTCACTTGTGCTCGTTGAGCGCGTTGATGTTCGTTGTCGACGGTGTATTATAACACTAAATCAAAGTGACGTAGGATACGATTTAAGATAACCCTCTGCTCATGGAAGTGTTGGAGCTTGGGGAAAGAAGTTAGAGCGCATACATTATGTATGATTCTGGACAAAAAATTTGTTTTCTGAATTGGGAGCAAAACATCATTGCTAGTTTAAGATGCTTTTTTGCTATTCTAATTAAAAAATGGATAGGTTTTGTGAAAGAATATTTGGCAAGTCAGTAGTCCATGAAATTGTATATATTTTTTAATGTCGAACAGTTGAGGAGGTGAAACTTTAAAATGTAGCTATTAAGCTTTTCAAGCAACTGCTTTTCATCAGGATTTTTATGTGAAGAATACATATTTCAGACATGTACTTACATAGCTGGTCACAAGAACCCTTAGAAACCCACTCTGATTAGGGGGATAATTAGTAGAGGTTGGGGTTTTTTGATGTCTGAGTATCTATTTATCTCCCTACGTAAGGGCTGGCTTCTGCAGTCACTCGCTTAGTAAATCCTCCTCACTTCAGTGGGCTGATTCAAATGATTGAAGCTAATTGTATGTGTGTTTGCAGAATTTGTCCCTAAATAACTTGAAGTTACTTCTCTCGGAAAATGGAAAGCGCGAATATATGTTTGAGAACACCTGAAATTTCCTGCGAATGAATGTTTGTCTCCAGCTGTAGCTGGGGAAAAAAAAAAAAAAAAATTTTTTTCCTTTTTCTCTATTTTTAAGACACAGACAAATGGTGTGTGTAAATTCAGTTTAAATGAATAAGATTTATAGGGGGAATCATTGCAGTGTGGAAATTCAGGACTCCTGCAATATGCCATAAGACTAAAGGATGATTTGATTTTTTTCTAGCCTTTAGTAGAATATTTTGTTGATAGAACTTACCACTTCTCATTTTCCCATTGTTTGTAAGTATTTATTTTGCTAGCACTTGTCTGTCACGCTATCATTATTTAATCTTACGTTCACAATAAAGTCTTGCCTTGAAAGCACTTAAGCGTGCAAGCAACTCATGTAAGTAAAGTTCCTTATGGGTGTGTTTAGAGTTACTGTGAATTTTTTTTGTCTCGATACACAGCTGACTTCATCATCTGTAGCCAACTGCCAAAGTTAGCCATCGGAACAAGGAAATAACAAATAGAAATGGTCATAA